ACCTGTAGTAAACGGACATGCCTTGGTGCAGCGCTGGCCCTACTCGACAACAGCGGAGAAACCTGGAAGACCATAATGGACGTGCACTCACTCACATTGTGTTTCCTCTCAGTGCACTATCTCAACATACTGCATGGTTGATTTCTCAGCTCCTTAAATTCTGCACAAGAATTGCCTTTTCTACCAATGCCCTGTTTGTTCACTTTATCTGAAATTATGCCCTACTTTCCATCTCCAACATTATTATTCTTTCTTATTTTTTATTAGACTTTATCACGTCAAATATAAGGCATTATCTTTTTCCTTTCCTTAACTTTTAATGTATGAATTATACAATATGATACTCGTCATGAATATCTTTTGTACTTTGATTTCTGTTACTTCTCAAATGTGCAGCATTGTGCTTGCCACATAATTATGCTCAATCGGTATTTGTTGAGTGAATAAATTGATTGATCAGATGCAGTTATTTACAAATGTTAGTTCAGTTTTCTATCCTTTTAACCTCTAATTTAAAATATTTACACAATAATTGCTTTAAACTAGGGATATTAAATTTGGTTCCTTATTTAAGTATGGGACTCACTCTGTACCAGTGCCAGATGACCCTAACAAGCATACAGCAGGTAGCCCGTGGCTTGAAGAATACACAGCCTGATGTAAACAGTATGGTCTTTGGACCAGGCTGCTCTACCTTAATTATTCCCTTTTGAGGAGACAGAAGAAATAGATAGATTTTTAGTGCTATCACAGACAACAGAGATCCAACAAAAAGATATACTCTGTATGATAAAGAATAACTTTGAAGCAATGAGACACATTGACCCACAAGGAAGCCTTTAGTAAGCAGTGAATTCCTCATAATTCTTGGCATTATAGACCTTCAGCACCCTTTGGGAGCCTTGATTAAGTACAGCACTTGGTTATGCTTTAAATGTGGGGATTTACCCCCCTTCTCGTGTTTTTTTAGCAGCTTGGGTCCATTACAACAAAACACGAGTAGCTGGACATGCCTTGGTGCAGGCTGGCCCTACTCAACAGCGGAAGAGTAACTGGGAAGACAATAATGCACGTGCACTCACAATTTCTTTCCTCCCAATGCACTATCTAAACATACTACATGGTTGATTTCTCAGCTTCTTAAATTTATATGCAGAAATTGCCTTTTCCACTAATGCTCTCTTAGCTCAACTTATCTAAAATTACACCCTACTTTCCATCTCCAACATTACTCTCCTTTCTTCTTTCTTATTTTTTTAGACTTTATCACCTCAAATATAAGGCATTATCTTTTTTATTTCATTACCTCTTAATGTATGAATTCATACAAAAGGATACATGTCCTGAAGTTTTTTTGTACTTTGCTTTCTCCTATTTCTAAAATGTCCAGCATTTGCCTGCCACATAATAATGCTCAGTCAATGTATGTTGAGTGAATGAATTGATTCACTGGATGCACTAATTTACAAATTTTAGTTCAGTTTTCTATCTTCTTGATCTCTATTTTAAAATATTTACACAATAATTTCTTTAAACTAGGGAGTTTAAATTTGGTTCTTTAGATCAGTCTTAGGCTCACTGTGTACCAGTGTCAGATGACCCTAACAACAGTTACAGGCGGGAGCCGATGACTTGAAGAATACACAGTCTGACACAGAATGGTCTTTTAACCAGGCTGCTCTACCCTAATTATTCCCTTTTGAGGAGACAGAAAGTTAAGCACTCTGTAACCTTCTACCTCCTAATGTCTCTAAAAGGAGCACTGCAGATATCAGGAAGGCTGGTTATGAGGCCATCTCTAACTTGACAGAAGAGCTGGTATTCGTGGAGGCACTCGAGCCAACAATTAAGAGGAAGCCTGGAAGAGAAGTTACTGCCTAGAAAACATTTAATATGCACAAGTCTCAGTTGAATCGAGGACCTGCACTCACAACCTTTCCAAAAGGCCTCTTTCTATGCCGTTGATTTTCCAGTGGTTTCTCTGTGCCACAACCTTTTCTGGCCTTAACTATCCCGGATTCTGGTTTGGCAGCTCCTCATTGGCATTCCTGCATATGTATGCTCAGGATGTGGAATCCTGGAGTCAGCATTGGGTTATGCCCTTGGACTCTGAAGCATTCTTGTTTGTGCTCCTGGGTCTTCAATTCACCACCATGAAGTTCTTGGCAGTCCGGTACTAGTGGGAGTTTCCACCTTCTTGGTCTCTGGCCGTAAGTAAGGATGCTTACCTAACATGAGGTTTGAAGGAATAGTCCATAAAAATAGCAACTCTATGCGGATTGTACTTGCAGGTGTCTAGAATGATGCACTTCCTGACCTCTACCCCCCTAACTTGTTCTAGCACTGCTTTGACTGGCCATTCAAGGTGGAGTCGATTCCATAGGATTTTCCTAATTCAGTCAAATCTTAATAACCATAGAATACAATTTTATTGTTATTATCAATTAAATATGTTTAAGAAGGTAACAGGGATTGGGGGGAGACTCACATCTTAAGGATGTGGCAAGCATTGTGGGGGGGAAGGGATTACCTCTATCCCTTTTTAGGGAGAGGCAAAGATATACATTGTAACCAAAATGTCTGAAAAAAAAATCTGTAATCAGGCAGTGGGCAGGTAGAAAGGGGAGGGGAAGTGTATGTACTTACACGGTGGGTGCAGTGTGCACCACCTGGAGTCTGGACACACTAGAAGCTGTGGCATAGTGAGGTGGGGGGGGGCAGGGGCAAGATATGTAACCCTAACAATATTTGTGCCCCCATAATATGAAGTAATAAAAAAAAAAGAAGGTAATCAGAGGTTTATTTCAGGAAAGGAAATATGACCACATGTTAGATTATCTGTGGGTTTTCATGTGTTTTACGTTACCTGTGCATGTGTTCATCTTCAATTTCTACACAAAAGACTGAGGTTCTTCCATTGTGAAAGTTGAAATACTGTCCAAATTCTCTCTTCCCTCCACCCTCAAAAGTGGTGTTTATCTTCCATCCTATTTTTCCTTCTTCTCTTTCAAGAAGATACGAAAATAGCTGCTCCATCTGACACTACTGCTAGTAGTGAGAGTGCACTTGAACTTCATTTGATTTCTGCAATGACTGTTTTCCATTTCCAGCTCATGGCAAATAATCAGCTTGCATGTGGATATTCTAAGTTGTAAGGAATCCTAAACAGAAGCCTGAGAAGGCTGTATTCCTGATACTAGCGTGCATTGTGAACATAGTTAACCTAGTTATCTCTCATACATTGTTAGACAATATGAAATCTAGGACATAGACTCATGTAAATTGTGGACTTCCTCAGTGCTCCTCAGACAGTGGCACAAGTGCATGAAGTGTGATGTTGAGGCCTGAGAAGTTTTGGCAGATGCATGGAAAGTCTTTAATAAACCAAACGACTGAATTTATATATCCAGTGTAAGCAACAGACCAGTGGGTCAGAGAATGAAATAACAGATTGTAATTTTAAAAGTGATATGAAATGAAACATTTGTACTGCAAATGAAGGTGGTGTGTGGGATGTGGAATACAGGGGTCTGGTAGAAGAAGGATTCTGAGTTTGCTCTTTCTAATGGTGTATAATATCTTATTCTAAGGGTGATATTTGTTACCCCTCTCTGACCTAAAAATCAAGGATGTCGATCAAACCCCCTGGTCATTCTTGGGTTTCTCCAAAGGTGCCTGTGTGTTGTATACTGTGTGTGTGTCATGTTCATGTATTAGTTACGAACCTGTCTCTTTTGATCCTCCACAGTTTGGAGACATTCCTCCTTTAGTCACAGGACATTGACTCTAGTCAGGCATCACACTGTGGGCCAAGTGTTCTATCTTCATTCTCCCCTTCCTGATTCTTGCTGGAAATAGTGAATTAGGGGTTTCCCCCCAAGGGCAATGGCAATGACTGCAGAGATAGGCATGTACTTTGTCTTAGGCATGAAGACAGAAGACCAAGTCCACGTGTGGTGCTACTCACAGGACTACTGCCCAGAAGCAATAAGTGAATTCCTGGTAAACGGACATTCTGATGCCTTCCCACAGAATAAACTCGGGTTGCACAAGTCCCATTGTAACTTGAATGATGGTCCGTAGAAGGATAAATTTTAGAGGAGAATTTAGATCCCTACATGGGGTCCCGTTTTAACAGTGTTCTTTCTCTGAAGAGGCCTGAGACAGCAAGCTGAAGTATGGGTTTTGAGAAGGAGCTATCCAGTTTTTGAGGGAGGTTTAATACACAAATGTGGAGTCTGACTTCCTGGGCTTTGTCAGTAGCTTTGATGTAAGATCAAGGGAATGATAATTCTCATAATTCTTACTCAGTTCCTTGAACATGTAGTAATTCATGGAGCATGTGGTCATTCTTACTGCCAGAAGTGTACTGATTTGTCCCATTATATCGAATGCGGCTCTCACAATCACTCCTCTATTATGTGCAGTCTGAGTTTTCACAAAGGGTGCGTGCGATCAATATGACATCGTTTCAGGCTAGAAGGTGACAGAAAGTATTTCACAGTTAAGATAGGAAATATGACTCTAGGATAGGATACATCTTCTGAATCTTCTTCCTCTTCTCCTCTAGAATTTATCCTTCTGCTTCTTCTCATTCAAGCGGCAGTGGCACGTCTGCAGTCCTAGGCTGCTCCGTGGACGGCATCAGAATGTCAGGCCATGAGGAATCTTCCTGTTGCTCTGGGAGTAGTCCCGTGGATAGCACCACATGTGGACTTGGTCTTTTGTGCTCAGGGTGGGAGAAAGTACTTGCCTATGTCTTCAGTCAGTGCCATTGCTCTTGGAGGGAAGTCCCAAATTCTTTCTGTCCTAGCAAGGACAGTGCAGGGAAGATGAGTCAAGAGGAAAGTTGGAAGGTAGGCCAAAGTTATGACAGAATTGATGACAGATGCAGAAATGAATTGAGGATGAAAAATGTAGGTCCACTCCTGGGTGGGGGAAATTGTGTTCCCTGCAGAAGAATCAAAGTCTTACCTGGAACTTTTCTTCCTAATTTCAGCCGTCCCTGAAGATACCTCCCCTGCTGCTGTAAATGCAGATACCTCTGGTTATATTTGCAACCTTTCAGAAGGTAAGACCATTCCATCTAATTGCTTCCTTTATGTGACTCCTGGATTTTCTGGGTTCTCTATTCCACCAGAGACTATATTTTTGGTGTCGGGGAGGGAGAAGATAAGAGAAACGTCCTGTTTTTCTCACACTGTTTTCAAATTTCTAAGTCAAGTCAACAGATTAATATCAGAGAAACCATAAGCTTGTTACACCTAGTTTTCCAATACTACTTGGATAGATCTTGAAATGTTAGCATTTATCAAGGATAATTGTTCTTTAATAGAAACATCATTGCTAACACCAAATTATGTGCCTTTTTGTGGCAAGGTAATGGATTATGTTTTATATTTTTTTGAAACAGACAATTCTTTTTTTCCTTGTGAGAATTTCCCCAAAATAGAAAATAGCTTAACAGTGGGTGAACTTTATGATTTTTTTCTGGGGCAGATTCTTTTGAATATGACTTAGGATATTTCTGGGAATTTGGAAATCCATTAAGGATCAGGTATAGTTTTTCTGATAATGGTTTATTTTCCCTGCTTTTCAACTTTCACATAGCAATGACTACCAGATTAGTTGAATCTAAACATATGCAGCCACTGTGTTCTAAAATTCACATACATGTTGTAATTTAAATCTCAAAGTCACTCTATGAAATAGATATTCTGAAGATGTGTAAATGGAAAATTTGTAATGATAAACTTTCCCTTGAGAACATGAACAATAATAAAAGGGATTGGAATGATGGTCAAATAATGGACATCTTGAAGTTTCCTCTTGAAATATTGCTTTCTACTTTTTCATGTCTGGGCCACTGCTTGGCACTTTCCTCAATGATCTGTAGTATGGGTGAGAAAATGCAGAGTTCTCCCTTATCAGAGGATTGCTTTGTGCCATATTATAGGGAAAACCCATATGTATTAGCTGACTTCCATTTCTCTCTGATTGTCCAACTTACTTGGGCTTTCATTTCAGGTTACATATCCTAATTCTTTAAGGATAGGAATTGGTCATTTATCTTCTTGGATTTAAAATCTCATGTTCCTTTTGAATCCACAGATTTCAGTGATATTTGGCACTTAGTACCTATTTAGAATCCAAACAATAAAGTTAGATTCTTCATCCTTTGTGCAAACCTAATGACAATATATTTTTTTCTCTTGCAGATTTCTTGATATGTGCTAAGAAGATCTTCTCATTTTTAAGATATACGGCTGAGGTAGCATCAGCCTGGGCGTTCTGCATCTGGTCCTGCAGGGCTGGGCTAAAACAAACCTTCCTTTGATAACATCCAATTACTTACTTTGCCAGGTATATATCTCTCATATCATCAATTTATCTTCCTTTGAATTGATAATAATAATGAATAACATATAAATGATATATTTTTACGTGTAGTGGGGTAGTTGTCCAATGTTTAGACAATAGAGTGACAGACACTTCAAATTTTAACTGGTATTTCCTTGTGTTCCTGTTAATTATTCCACTTTCTATATATATATTCAATATTTTAAAATGAACACTGATCTTGGACATACTATTAGAGGCTAGAGATTCATCCAGTATGAATATGCTAATCAAAACAAAGGACAAATGTTCAGTTCCATTCCACCACACTCTTCTATCAAAGGACACAGAATTTTTTCCTTATCTGCAATGATTTTACAGGTGAGAAGTGGGGCACCTCCTGTATTGCCTTGACACTTGCAGGCTTCAGAGTTGTGAGAAGGTGACCTGGTGCTGCCTGCTGGGCAGTGGTGCTTTCCTGTTGGACACAAACAATCTTACAAAGCACCAACGTCAGCCAAGGTCATTTAGTATGAGATGTGATGTCTCATACAGGGCTGGGCAAGAAAGAAATATGGGACCTCTGAGCATGGGGCTATTAGTTGCACCCTGTCAGTGATCAGAGAGACTGGCTTCTGTAAATTTGGAAATCATATACAGGAATACATGCATCAAACAAGGTCTAGGATGGCAAACTCAGCAGTGAGATAGCTCAGCAGAAAAGGTGATAACCCAGGAAAACTCACTAAGGAGTTGTCCTCCATCCTTAGACAAGACAAATAACAAAAGAAAGGTTATGGAAGATATTAGCATTTAGATAGCCTAAATGCTAGCCCATCCACTGGGAGAGTTAGTTTGCTTCTTCCATGGGACACTTCTGTACTCTGGTATCATGGACCCAAGGTTTCCTCCTGAGAATTTGAATGCAGTGTGTGTTGTTAGAGGCACTTCATAAGTTCTCTTCCACTTCTCTGCTTCTAACTGGGGTGGGACCTGAAAGAGGTAACTCAGGCATAGTGCTGGGTATCTGATACATTGAGAAGAGAGAGAGAGAGAGGAAGAGAATTTGCCTTTTTTGGCCAGGCACCATGGCTCATGCCTGGAATCCTAGCACTCTTGGAGGCCTAAGTGGGTGGATCACTCAAGGATAGGAGATCGAAACAAGCCTGAGCTATTGTGAGACCCTGTCTCTACTATAAATAGAAATAATTAAATTGGCCAACTAAAAATATATAGAAAAAATTAGCTGGACATGGTGGCTCATACCTGTGGTCCCAGTTAACCGGGAGGGTAAGGCAGAAGGATTGCTTGAGTCCAGGAGTTTGAGGTTACAGCCAGTTAGGCTGACGTCTCGGCAGTCTAGCCGGGGCAATTAGAGTAAGACTCTGTCACGAAAAAAAGAAAAGAAAATAAAAAAGATAATTTGCCTTTCCTCTGCCTTTCCGTTCTGTCTGGGCCCCCAGCCAATTGGGTGTTACCCAACCACATTGGATGGTAGATCTTCCCCCTTTCAGGCCACTGACTCATATGGTAATCTCTTCTGAAACACCCTCACAGACCCATCCAGAAATAATACTTCATCAGTTTCCTTAATCCAATCCCTAATCCAGTCAAGCTGACACCAAAAGTTAACTAGCACACATTTTTTTGTTAAATATATTTCTAAGTACTTTATTCTTTTTGATGCTATTGTGAATAAAATAGTTTTCTTACTTTCACTTTGGATTGTGCATTGATGGTGTTTATAAATACAATTGATTTTTTAGTATTGATTACAAATTTTGAAACATTGCTGAACTTGCTTATTAGTTCTAAATTTTTTTTTTACTGGATTCTTCAGCATTTTATATATTCAATGTCACGTTATCTGCAAATAGAGGTAGTTTTATTTCTTTCTTTTCTGTATTGATAGCTTCTATTTCTTCTTCTTGCCAAATTTCCTTTTCTAGATGCTCTAAAACAGTGAGTGGAAATTATTTTTTTTGATTTTAAAGAAAGTGCTTCCAGTCTTTCACAATTAAATATAATGTTAGGGGTATGTGCTTTGTATATGTCTTTTACCAGCTTGAACAAGTTTCCTTCTATTCCTATCTTGTTCAGCATTGCTTTCTGTTTTATCATGAATGTTATAGGTTTTGTAAAATCATTTTCCTGCTATTATCACATGGTTTGTGTCTTTGTTTCTTTAATATAATGATTCACATTTATTGACTTTCATATATTGAAGGAACCTTGCATACCTAGGAGAAATTCTACTTAGTCATGGTGTAGCCTATGTTCTACATGTTGTGAAACCCATTGCAGTGGTGCTTATTCCCATCATGATAATTCTCCCTTGAATAAAGTCTACTTTACCATTCTTTAACAGAAATAATTTTTTCTTTAATAGCTATGGTGTCTGTGACTTGAATAGAATCAGAGTCACCATTGTGTCCCCTGTCTCTCATCATTACATGTGTGCCTTTCAATCTTTTATCTTCAATTCTGACGGATTGAACAGTGATCCTTTGGCAAGACAGATTCCTGAGCCCTTAGTGTGGATGACAGTTCATTGAAACGGATAAGGACAGATTTTGACGCTTAAGATTCTGAGAATACTCAAGAAACTGCATTAGAGTCCCAAGTTTCTTTGTTTGAAGAAGTGCGGTTATAAGCAGCTGTTTATAAGAAACTAGGTGAGTCCCAGGAAAGAGGAGCTGGGGTAGAGGCCTAGGCTTCTTTGTTTGAAAGATGCCTGCTGGGTCAGAAGTCTCTCTTCCTAGCTCTTGCTCTCTGTCTTGAGTGGGGAATATTCCTGACCAGGTGGGCAGAAAGATTTTTTCCTGGATCTTTGTCTTGAACAGGAAAATTTTCTTGGCTCTTTGAGAGGCCTCTCTTTTCTGTCTATTTTATCCTGTCTCTCTCTCATGGGAACTTTTCAGTAGGGTGAAACTTCCTTCTTTTTTTTTTATATATATATTTATTTTTTTTCCCCAAATTCTGTGAGTACAAATATTGTTAGGGTTACATATCTTGCCTCTGCCCCCCTCCCCATCCCGCTCTGTCAGAGCTTCAAGCATGTCCAGTCTTCAAGTGGTGCGCCCTCCACCCACCATGAAAGTGGTACCCTTCCCCTTCTCCCCTCTTCCACCTGTTCACCTCCCATTAACAATTTTTTTTTTTTTAGACATTTTGGTTACAGTGAAACTTCCTTCTTGAACTCCTGCTGCCTATATGCTCCACCAGTCTGTCTACTTCCTTCTTGTTGACAGGATTTTCCTGAAGCTAATTTGGAATTTTATTGGCCTCTTAGGAAACTTATTATAATCTCCCTAAATTGGCTCCCTAAAGCTTCTCTCTTCTTACTGCTTCTGTTTCCCCTTTATCCTCTTAACACCTTGGATCTTGTCTTCAGCTCCCTTGAATCCTTCAATATGTTCCCCTTCACCTCTGCACCTTCATCCCTGTGTTCCTGCCAGGCTTTTCCTTCCACCTCAAACGCTCAGTTCCCTACAGTAACTTGAACTTCACATCCCCTGCAAATAAATTTTTATATGCATTATTTAGGTAAATTATCTATTTGTAATTTATTTTAGTGTATCCAGTGAAGCAGTGGTTAGTATTTATTGTTTTCTCTATAAATCTCCAATTTCCCTGTAAACATTCTTTTAAAGGTCCATCTTTTCTTTACTTTGGCTTTAAATTCCATCACTGTATATTTCTGACCTTGCCTCTCTATTTTTTCCATAGTATAATTGTAAATCCTTGTCACAAACCACACTGTTTAGTTCATATAACTGTATTTTATCTGGCAACAATTTTTAAGCTATCTTTGTTTTGGATGACATTGACAAATTGAGGAATACATTTCCATCCCCATTTTTAATAAATAAAGTGTGCCTCATTTGGGGATTATTTAATTATTTCTGACAATTGACTTCAACTTATGCTTTTCCAGCCAGAGCACTACTTAGAGGATATTGAATAATATCTAATAAAATGCTCTGTTCTTGAGGTTTTGGCATGAATTCCAATCAACCCAGAATCTGTTTATTTTATCAAAGACTGTAATGCTTTATTTGACAAGAGTGTTGACTAGATCACAAGTTATGCCAGGTAAAAACTACCAGAATGTCCTAGAAGCTTATGTAAGTTTCTGAATAAATGTTGCACAATATTCAAAATAAATACCCAGCATGTGTGCTGATCAAAGACTGGTAACGTGTTAGGGCAGAGGGAGGTGAGCTGCAGGGAGAAGGAGGCTCCATTAGATGTGTCAAGGTCCATCTGGCACCAAATTTAGAATGATACAGATTTAATATGTCAGGAAGGAGACTCTTGCTGTACAAGAGTTGTCAATGTCCAGAAGGGTAGGGTGATCATCAAAGACTGATCTGCTAAGTGTGAGGGTAGAGAACGGTGAAGAGGAGGAAGGAGGCTCCCTTTAAGTATTCCAGAGTGAGCCTGACACTGTACTTGAAAGAATGTTTCCCAAAGTGTTAGTGAGGAGACTCACAGAGTGAAATTATGTTCAGTTTTCCAGGAAACAAGTCTTGGAAGCCTGAGAATGTTGCATATAGCTTTCACATTTTATGTAAATAAAGAAGAAACCGTGTTAGCAGTTGTAGCCGTGTGCTAAAGGCTGATGGGACCAGGCAATCAACTGAACTTTAGAAAGACATATAGACATTTAGAAAAAGAGGAGGAAAAGCTGCAAATTCAGAAAAAGGAAAAGAATGCAACAAATGATATAGGAAAAAGAAAGAGTGTGATAGTCTCATAACGACCACAAAAGAAAGGTGAAGTTAGAAATGTCACTCTTCTGATTGTTTTACTTCATGCAGGAGCATTTTGTGGTTTGTTCTGGGTTTCCCACTTTGAGGAGCCTTCAATATTAGTGGGAAGAAGACAGGCAGTGATGGGAAATGGGTACACAGCAGTGAGGGGGATGACCGTGTACTAGGAAAAGCATGATAAGTAGAAGAAAGATTGGAAGTTCTTTTCCGTAACTATGAAAAATCAATGGTTGAACAAATTTGTGCTTC